TGAGATCATATGATACATGTCTTTCTAAATAGAGGTATTCTTGATAAACTTCAAAAACTTCTTAATTTGGTGTTGTTGGTATTGTTTTTTAATGCAACCATTACAACTGGGTAGAGCAGAGGGAAGAGAAAATACTTTGATACCATTCTTTCCTAGAATTCCACACCTCTTGGGTAGAAGTTTGTATGATTGCCCCCTGGAGTTCTTGTTCATAGGTATTAAATACTGTGCAAAATGGGTTAAAATAAATTTTTATTAGATTACGGTATTTGTAGTTTTCCCCTCCCCCTATTACCGGAAACCAATATAGGATTAGACAGACTGACCCGCTGCCTCTCAGCCCCTTTTCCTTCCTTTCTCAATCTTACAGAAACTAGATTTTAGGAACATACACATAAAAAGTACATTGGCATAGGGCGCCTGGGTGGCTCAGTTGGTTAAGCGACTGCCTTCGGCTCAGGTCATGATCCTGGAGTCCCTGGATCGAGTCCCGCATCGGGCTCCCTGCTCGGCAGGGAGTCTGCTTCTCCCTCTGACCCTCCTCCCTCTCATGCTCTCTGTCTCTCATTCTCTCTCTCAAATAAATAAATAAAATCTTAAAAAAAAAAAAAAAAAAAAACTCAAAAAAAAATTTTTAAAAAAAAAGTACATTGGCATAGTAGGAAAAGCCTACTATGTGGAGACGGACAGACCTGAATTTGAATAAATACTCTACCTTTTAGGAGCTGTTGGATCTTGGGCAAGTTCTTTTAATATCTCAGGATTCTTTCAGGTGCAAATGACAAAAGAAACCTAATTCATACTATTGTGAACACAAACTTGAGTGTGCTAGCTTAAAAGGACTGTGGAGAGGCAGTTGGGTGGCTTAGTTAAGTGCCCAACTCTTGATTTTGGTTCAGGTCATGATCTCAGGGTCATGAGACGGAGCCCCTCATCCACGCTGGGCGTGGAGACTGCTTAAGAGTCTCTCTCTGCCCCTCCCCCGCCCAAAGTAAATAAATATAAAAGGACTGTGGAGTAGTTCAACAATCTAAAACAACTATAGGAACTAGGGTCCCAGAGGCTTGATTCCAGGGCTTAGGACTGCCAGCACTTAAACTATAACCAATTACTTTATTTTTTTTTTTTGCAAATGGGTCTAATGGACCCTGTAGGGAAATTTCATTGCACACTCTGTAAAAATGACCTTGGGCTTCTCTGGGCCTACAGCCTTCAGCACAATGTCATTATAAGGTAGAGGAAAGGTGCATTATGATTGACAGTCTCATCAGGAATACAGGAGAGGCAGTTCCTGAAGCAAGAGTGGTATTATCAAAAGAAAGGGAACAGGGGTGCCTGGGTGGCTCAGTTGTTAAGCGTCTGCCTTCGGCTCAGATCATAATCCCAGGGTCCTGGGATTGAGCCCTGCATCGGGCTCCCTGCTCTGCGGGAAGCCTGCTTCTCCCCCTCCCACTCTCCCTGCTTGTGTTCCTTCTCTCGCTGTGTCTCTCTCTGTCAAATAAATAAAATCTTTAAAAAAAAAAAAAAGAAAGGGAACAGAAAAGTCTGCTGGGAAGACCTAAATCATACACACACAAAGCTATTACAGTCCACTAGAGCTAGGAATAGGTTTTGGTAATTTATATATCTCAGAGAGTGAAAGGATTTCTAAGATAGGATGTCTTCTTGGAATAATGTCTAGGATTTTTCTATCTCCTAAACCAGTTTTTTTGTTTTGTTTTTTGTCTTGGCAACTTCACTCTTCTTTTGGGCCCCTAAAAGAGGCATGTGTTTTATCATGGGCTTAAAGCTGAAAGCAAGAAAAAGGGGAGTTCAGAATGTGTTTCTTAACCTTTGATTTAGTTTTCATTTCTTAAATAGCTAATCTTTGTGTTTTGCTTGTGTGGTTTTGATTGTTATCCCCTAGGGAGGGAATTTCTCATCATGTATATCACGCTGTGCTAAGTGCTCAAGAAACGATAAATAATAATAATTCTCAAAAGAACAGACTGGACCAACACAGCAAGAGAGACACACTGTGTAAATAATTAATGAGAATCAAAAAGCCTGAGTAATTTTGTTTTTTAGCTGAGGTTTTTAGAATCATAATTATTGCTGTAAAATTTTCACCCTTTATTTCTTTGATGGTGTCATTGAAAATGGTAATATATAAAAGAAGCTGTTTTGATATGCTATTTGAAAATCTAACTGCAAATCTTTACTAATCTAGTAATTTTAGGAGTTTATTGCTCAAGGTGTAAGATTTCTAGGAGACTTGTTTTTTTCCAGAGGTCAGTATTTTTTTTTTTTTTAAAGATCATTTATTTATTTGACAGAGAGAGGCACAGTGAGACAGGGAACACAAGCAGGGGGAGTGGAAGAGGGAGAAGCAGGCCTCCCGCTGAGCAAGAAGCCCGATGTGGGGCTCGATCCCGGGACCCTGGGACCATGACCCAAGCAGAAGGCAGACGCTCAACAACTGAGCCACCCAGGCGCCCCCCTAGGGCAGTATTATTTTTGGCACACGCAGCATTTATTTATTCGGAGTCATTGGAAAGATTTGACATTGAGATGGAAACCAACAGTAGGCCTATCATGTCTACTGCTTTATAATAAATGTGGAAAGGAAGTTCTACTCTGTTTTTGAAATCTCATTTCCCGTTTTTAAGAAAAATTACAGAAAACTTCAAACATTCTCAAAATAGTGAAGATCATATAATGAACCACTAGCTTCCACATTTGCCAGTGTATCTCCTCCACTTGTTTTTCTCAATTATTTTAAAGCAAATCCCAGACTTAATCCTATTTCACTCATACATGTGTATCTCAGAATACATGTCTAATTGATGAAGATTTTTTTTACATAACCACAAGGCCATCATCATATTTTAAAAATAAATTTAACTTACACTTCCAAATCAACATTAAAGTGTTCTTGGTTGTATCAAGAATGCCTCTTGTAGGGGCGTGTGGGTGGCTCAGTCGTTGGATGTCTGCCTTTGGCTCAGGTCATGATCCCAGGATCCTGGGATGGAGCCCTGCATCAGGCTCCCTGCTCAGCGGGGGGCCTGCTCCTCCCTCTCCCACTCCCCCTGCTTGTGTTCCTTCTCTCGCTGTCTCTCTCTGTCAAATAAATAAATAAAATCTTTAAAAAAAAAAAAGAATGCCTCTTGTAGTTGGTTTGCTCAAACCAGGATCCAAAGAAGGTCCACAAATTGCATTTTTTTGTCTTTTAAATCTCTTATTTTATAACTGTTCTCCCTTCTCTCTTTTTTCTTTCTTTTTAAATTTTATTTTTTTAATTAACATACAGCAAACTTGCCTGTTTTTGATATACATACATACAGTAAAATTGCCTTTTTTGGTTCTCTGAATTTAGCATGTAAATAGATTCATCCAACCCCCACCACAATCAGGATACAGAACAGTTCCATTACCCCCCAAAAATACCTTGTGCCCTTTATAGTCACACCCTCTCTGTACCTCTACCCCTGATCTGTTCTGTTACTCTAGTTTTG